GAAAAATGCAAAAAGACATTTATAACCACCCATAGCTTTACCATTTTATCATCCAAAGATAACCACTGCTGGAATTCTGGCATGGTTTTAAAATATATATGGGCTTCCCCCCCCCCCGCCCAAGATTCAATTGAGATAATAATATAAAGCACAAATGTTTCTTGGCATTTCATCCAACATTTTTATAGTACACATTTCTTTGCCATGAGAAAGTATCTTAAAACATTTTAATGCCTGCCAAGAAAGTTTAGTGATTGAAATGTCATACATACTTCATCTGCATGTATGAATACCGGCTTAGGACAGATGTTAAATATTTTACAGGATTGGTAATTTGGTGTCTTGGGACATATGTGAAGGACTAAGTATTGAATTAGTCAAAGAAAGTTTGCTTGGGGTTTGTTGTTCTGGGTTTTGGGTTTTTCCCCCATAACAAATACTAAGACAAGGGCCAAATTTCCACTATTTTGAAGGAAAATGTGGCCTCTGAATACCTATTCCCCTTTTATGACAGGATGGCAGTTTCCTTTTGGGGAATGACCTCTTTGACATTGGATACTTCCTAGTACCTGTTGATTGGTGCTTTTTCTCTTTTATACAAAAGTGGGAACTTGACTAAATGAGGCAAGTGTGACTTGCTCCTTGTTGTGTTGTTGTTGTTATGTGCCGTCGAGTCGCCTGCAACTCATAGCGACCCTATGTACAACAGCCCTAAACTCCGCTCTGTCCTGTGCCAATCGCACTGTCTCTGACACTCCCATCCCAATTAGCCCAGTCACTGAATCAATCCACCTCATAGAGGGCCTTCCTCTCCTGCGCCGTCCCTCCACCCTCCCAAGCATGATGTCCCTCTCCAAGGACCGGTCTCTTCTCACTACATGTCCAAAGTAAGTTAGACGGAGCCTCAGAATCCTTGCCTCCAAGAAGCCACCCGGTTTAACCCTCTCCAGGACAAATCTATTTGTTTTCCTAGCAGTCCATGGTATTCTCAGTACTCTTCTCCAGCACCACAGCTCAAAGGCATCAGTTCTCCTTCTATCCTCCTTGGTCACTGTCCAACTCTCTGATGCTAGTCCAACTAATTTGGACCAATCCCAAGAAATTTGGAAGACTGGCCACCTGACTAAAAGAGATTCATGTTTGTTCCCATTACAAAAAAAAAAAAAAAAAAGGCAATCCAAAGTGTGGAAATTACCAAACAGTATCATTAATATCACATGCAACTAAAACCTTCCTGAAGATTATTTTCTAAATTACTAGAACATTACATTGACAAGGATGCACCAGAAATTCTAGTCGGATTAAAAAACAGCTGTGGAATGAGGGATATCATTGTTAATGTCAGATGAGTCTTGATTGAAAGCAAAGAAGACAAGAAAGATGTTAATTATGTAAATGTATTTGACTAGGTGGTTCATAACAAATTATGGCTAATATTGAGAAGGATGGAAATCCCAGAACACTTAACTGCGTTCATGAGAAGTATGTACATGGACCAAGAAGCAGTTGTCAGAAATGAACTGAATGGTTTAAATGAGGAAAGATGTCAGTCTGAGTTGTATCTTTTCTCCAGACCTACTCAATCTGTATGCTGAACAAATCATTTTGAGAAACTGGAGTATAAGAAGAAGTATGTAGCATCAGAACTGGAGGAAGACTCATCAACAACCTGCAATATGCAGGTGATATAACTATGCTTCAAAAAGTGAAGATTACTTGAAGAACTTACTGCAGAACATCATAGACTACAGCCTTCAATATGGATTATATCTTAACATCAATAAAATAAAAATCTGAAACATGAAGCAGCATCATGATAGAGAAAAGATTGAAGCTGTCAATGATTAATTTTATCTGGACCCACAATCTACATCCATGACTGCAGCAGTGGGAAAATTGCTGTCAAAGATTTCTCCAAATAACTAAAAAAGGATGTCAGTTTAAAAATCATGGTGCATCTGATCCAAACCATGGCATTTTTCTGTTGTTTTCTAGTCATTTCAAAGCTGGACAATGAACAAGGATGATAAAACAATCAATGCCTTTCAACTATGATGCTGGAAAAGAGTACTGACTATACCGTGGGTTGCCAAAGAATAAACAAGTCTGTTTTGGAGAAAGTGTAACCAAAGTTTTCCTTAGAGGTAAGGATGGTGAAACTTTGTTTCACATATTTAAGGCATGCTGTCAGAAGAGGCCAGTTCTTAGGGAACATCAATTTGGGAAAGGCAGATGGTAAGAAAGAGAGGAAGACCTTCAACCGGATAGAATGACACAATGATTACAATAATGGGTTTGTGCATGTCAAAGATTGCAAGGATGTCTCAGGATAGGGCAAGGTTCTGATCTGCTCATGGGTAGCTATGAGTTATAAATGATCCAATGGCCTCTAACAACAAGAAGAATTATTATTAATTTTTTTAAGGATTATTTTTGTTTGATGCTTTTTATTTTTAATCCTCTCATATTCTTATATGGTTTTTATCCTTTAGTCTGTTAATGTGGATAATTACAGAAATTTCATTACTGAGGTCAGTTTCATTTACATGCATATATTATTTATTTCCAGATTCAGTATGCTAACATTTCCAATACTTTTTATATTAATTATTTGGAAGACTAAGTATAAGACTATAATGATCTATTCTCTGGTGGTTGTTGTGTACTGTAGAGCCAGAATTGACCGATAGCTGACCTTCTGGTGGGTTTTCAGAGGATATCAATCATACAGGAAAAGACTGCTCATCTTTTTCAAGCAGAGCAGCTGGTGGCCTCGAACCACATGCCTTGGGGATTGCTACACAACTTCCTGCCACTAGGCCACCAGTGCTCTCTATTCTCTATTCACTGAATAGTTGATAGAATTTGTTTCTAAACCTGTCTGGGCTTGATTTTTCTTTGCAGACATATTTTAAAATAGTAATTTAATTAATTGATTTGTGTTTAACTGGCTTAGGAGAAAATTTGAAATCTATTGGTAGAATCTGATCTTACAGTTTAATAAATCTTTTCTTTTCTTGAACTCACCAATTTTTCCTTCTCCTCCTGGGCTTTTTCCTGTGTTTCGGTTAATTGTTGTTTCAGTTTTTCAATCTGTAGAAAATGAAAATAATGTCAAGAGGGTAGAGAAATTGCTCTGTGTCCTACCTCTAATAAATAGCCTAGGTTCATTAGGTATTTAAACCACGAGGGTTGAAGATGGGTTTGACAAAGGTAACAAGAACACAGGAGCACCCCTGTATACACACCAGTTTCAAGATGGATAGACTCTGATAGAGGGGCTGCAGCCTGGTCCTGACTGGCTGTCTCTGTTAGACATCTTTCATATCCATGGCATCTTGAAATAACATTCACCTGGTACTCTCTTACACTTGTGCCCAGGACAGTGTCCCCTTTTGCTGCCTCCCTCTCCCTTCAAGCCTCTGGTATTGGTCACAAACATGTAGTGAATTAAGGAGGGAAGGGAAGAGGAGACAGGAACTGCCTTATACTCTTCACCTGAGTTGATAGTTTTCAAAACTTAGCTATGTTCACAATTACCTGGTTAACATCTTTTAAGACAGGAAGATGAGAATCAGAAGCCCAAATGATACTAATAAATGTAGGTCAATACCAATTAGTTGAGATTAAAACCTACAGGGCACAAAGCTTCTAGTAAATAAATTTTTAACTGATCTGTGTAACCTGCTTAAACCTTACTTTATAAATAAATAAACCTACTATTCAATGTACAGTTCTGGAGGGGGAGTGATAAGGAACTGTGCTGTCAACTCAAAGGTACGTGATTCGAATCCACCAGCTATTGTGTGGTAGAAAGAAGGGAAATCAACACTCATGCAATTTACTGCCTCTGAAAACCCACTGGAGAGTCAACGTGGATTAGTTCTAACTCAACAATACATAACAAAAACAACAATAACAATATGTACTAGGCCCTGTAGTAGGTGCTACGGATATATCACTGAATAGAGAAAAAAATTCTTAACTTCTGTGAGCCTTTAATCTAACCAGGAATAGAGACCGTAAATAAATAAGATGCATAGAGCATCATAGTAGGTAATGAATGTTAGAGAGGAAATAAACAAGGTGGTTACAGAGCACTGAGACAGGCATAGTTGTGATTTTTTAAAGTGTACTAAAAAGGTCTCACTGAAATGGTGACATTAGAAAAAAGTATGGACTCATGAATTTCACGTCATTCTTGTGAAGTCTACACTTCAATATTAGTTCACATGTGTACTGAAGTAAATGGACTCATGAATTTCACGTCATTCTTGTGAAGTCTACACTTCAATATTAGTTCACATGTGTACTGAAGTAAACAAACAAGTAGTAAAATGGGTGCTGTGAAGCATAAACATGCTCAAACCACTAGTAATCAGTAAACTATAATTACACCAATGAGAAGACAATTATAACCATAATTAAGTATAATTACATCAAGTGTACAAAAATGCAAACAAACAGGAACTCTAATATCAATTATGATATTATAAGCCCTTTGAAACTAAATTTAACAACTTGTTAATTTGAAACTAGCTGTGCCAGACCATGACAGTTTCATTTCTAGATGCCTACTCTAGAGAACTGCTCATATAAATATTTACAAGCAACATAAATGAATGTTCATTGAAGGTCTGCTTGTAGCAATAGTAAAAATGAAATATAACTGTTTGAGAATATAGATAAACCTCAGTTCATAGTAAGTTTATATTAATGGTGGTAGAATGATTTGTTTGTATAACTTTAAGAATGTAATCAGTGTCACTAAATTGTACACATAATTATAACTTTAATATTATAAAGCAAATTAAAATGAAAAATACTCATTGTAATTTTTAAAATAAACTGAAATATCATAAACACATAATATTAACTGAAAAAAGTTGTAAAAAGATATGTACAATATGATACTATTGGTTTAAATTTTAAAACAAGACAGTAGCATGTGTTATGGATGTTGCTGTTTTTGTGTACAGCCGAGTTAGAGTCGACTAACTCATTGCTGACCCTCCGGCAGATTTTCAGAGGCAGTTAATTGCAGGAGGGGATTGCTCATCCTTCTCCCACAAGCAGCTGGTGGCCTTGAACCACGTGTCTCTGGGAAATGCAGCACAGCTTCTTGCCACTAGGCCACCAGAGCTCCCAGTTTATGGATACAAACTTAAATAATTAAGGTAAAAATCATACATGGGAAAAGTATGCATCATCCTCAGAAGGATGGACATTTCCTGGGTCTCCACAGGTCCCATAGAGACAAACTGGAGAGTGGAGAATTTAAAAGATGATACCTGAAATTCACTTTACTACTCACTAGCTGGTTGATTTTAGGCAAACTACATATACTTTTTGGGAGTCAAAGTCTTCATTTGTAAAATGAGGATTTGTTTCTGTCATCGTTATGTTTCCTGAGTCAAGTATGACTTATAGTGACCCTATAATTAAAAGATTTGAACCTTGTTCTATATGCACCATCCTCACACTTCCTGACACACAAGAACTCACGGCAGCAGTCGCTGGGTCAATCCATCTGGTGGAGGGTGTTCCTCTAGTTTGCTGACCATCCACCCTTCCCAAGTATAAGCTGTTTCTGATTTTGTTAACAATCAGCTGTGTATAAGCATTCAGGACCTGGTAGTCAGGGCTTGGGTCCTGCCTGAGGGCGAATCTCCAGCTTGGAGCAGTCGGATTCTGGAGGGTGTTTTTAATATACTAGAAAGCTGTGTGTAAAAGGAGGATTTAAAAAAAAAACAACAACCCCTTAAACCTATCAGTTACTAAAGGACAAATGGCCTTACAGATATGAAATAAGCAACCACTTAGGAAAAAGATTATCAGTAGATAGGAGGGAGTAGAAAGGCAGGGGTTTGCTTTGTTTTCTTATGGTCATGGGTGCAACGCCCTAAGCCTGTCCATAGCTGTTCATCTTGTCTGTCCGCTTTGTATGCACTTGGGAAGGAGGAGTTTTTAATATGAGGGCATTGAGTTTAAGCTAATTATGGGGGAATAATTTGATTGCACAAATTTAAGAATGTAATCAGTGTCACTGAATTGTACATGTAGAGACTGAGTGGGCATATTTTTTACGTATAGTTTCACAACAATTAAAAAAATAAGGAGAATAATACTGTATCTTAAAGAGGCTATTAGAAAAATTGAATAATAGAGATAAAGCAACTGGTATTATACTGGCAACAAAGTAGGAGCTCCAAAATGTTCCTTTCCTCTTCTTATCCTGATCTATGAGGACTTTACTCTTAATATTAAATGAAGTACAATAACTATTCAACCAGAAGAAAAAAAAATTCAACCTGCTAGTTCCGAATGTGACTGGTGACTTACTCTGTAAGTTATTGAAATAGAGTCTTTATCAATATTAAATAATACATAGATCATATGTTGTTGTTGTTTATTGCCATTGAGTCATATACTATCTGCTTTTATCATTAAAATATATCTGATCATGTGTTTCTCATGATCTTCAATCTGTTTCACACAAGAAAACACAGCTCACAAATTGAGACTTAGGACCTTTATTAAGGCACACAGTTCGAATCCACCTGCAGCTCCACAAGACAAAGGATTTACTGCCTCCTCCTGTGCAATTAACAGCCTCTGAAAACCTGCTGGACAGTCAGCTAGCTATCAGTTGGTTCTGACTTGATGGTACACAACTACATCAAGAAATAGCATCTTTTTCAGGGAGAAGTGAAGTCAATTAATGTCTTAACTATATGATGAGATTTCAAAGACTAAATTTTTTTTTATTATTACATTTTATTAGTTTCAATGAACACTCACAGGGATTCTGGGCTTTCATTCCTTCATTGCCGCACCATTCTCTCCACCCTCCTCCCCAGTTTGTTCTTCTTCCCCGCCATCCGAATGTCTCAAAGACTAAATATTGAAATACATAACACAGCAGTACAGCCACAGAGTTGCTGAGGCTCAGAAGACTTTCTGCCTACCTACCATAGTATCTTTCTCAAGTTCCTGTTTCTTCAAGTGGCTTAATACTAACATTGTGTCTTTCTCCATTTTACGCTGCTGCTGCTTTAACTCCTCGTTGCTTTGTGCCAGTCTCCGGGAAGCATCACGATACTCAATCCTGGAGAGTTCTGTGATTTCCAACCTGGCCTCCCAAAGGGATGCATTGGCCTTGGCTCTGTCCACCACAGATTCTTCTGGCTTTACTGCCTTTCTACATGGGAAGAGGATTCACAATACATAATAATTTCTTTACTGCGATACTATTATATTTCTTTTTAGCTTGGCATTGCCTGGCACACAGTACTTGGTAAATGTTGTTTGATGAGCGAGTCAGTAAGAAATACATTTTTATGAATTGGTATGCTCTGCTGTGTATATTCTCAACAATAAAAGAAATTGTTATTGTTTTGTGCCATCACATTGGAACTGACTCATAGCTGATCACAAGCTTTCTGGATTGCAGCACAGCTTCTTACCACTAGGCCAGCAGAGCTCTAAAAAGAATCTGCGCTGCAATCCCGAAGGCACGTGGTTTGAATCTTCCAGCCATTCTGTGGGATAGGGATGAGCAATCTCCTCCCGTGCAATTAAAGGCCTCTGAGAACCTGGTAGAGGGTCAGCTAAGGGTCGATTCTGATTCAACAGTACACAACAAAAACAACATATAAAAAAGAAATACATATTTACTTTGTTCACATAAGGGAGTTAAGAAGTGCATGTCTCTTTCTGAAGGAGGGAAGTTCTGGAATATAACTAAAGAAGTACAAAAAACCAAAGAGGATAGGCATGTAAGTCAAATTTATTTGGTAAGGATTTCACATATTTTAATTTACTTTGTTTCTCCCATATTAGAACTGTTTCCCCCCCCCTACTTCCACACAGCTATCATTTTGTTTCTCTTCTGCATGACAATACGCTGATAGAGTAACTGTAAGCCATTATTTCTACAATCTCCCGCCTACCTCACCCTCCAGTTTTGTTTGTTTGAGGTTGAGGGAAGTTGGCTAGGCCTTGCACAAAAGAGTAAGTCACTAAGAAAAAGCATGCTAAACACTTTACTTGCTGGTACCCTAATGCTTTAAGGATGTTTGTGAAATGTCCTACAAGCATGTAGGGTGGGGAACGAGGGTGAAAGTAAGGATGGATTAAAATACTAGAGTGATAAAGGGGTGATATTTCAAAACAAGGATTTAATGAGTGAACATTAACAAAATACTATTCCTTGGTGTGTGTGTGTATGTGTGTGTGTGTTTAAAGGGGATCTCTGGTGGCCTGGTCCACAGGGAGTTGTGCCGCCAAGCTAAAGGTTGTAGCTCTCTGGTGGTCTAAATCTACCAACAACATGGTCCACAACTCTGTCAAGGAATCACTCAATACAGCTAGCAGCAATTTAGCAGACTCAGTTCCAAGTCAGCAAGGAGTTGGTGCTACCTACTTCAAGCTGGTATCACACATCAAAGTGCTCTGATTAGTTTGGGAAGCCTGGACAACTACCAAATTTGGTCAAATTCTATAGTCCTAAAAGGGGACCCTGAAAACATTTAAAGAACCTTTCAACTATCCAGATGTCTTCCGTACATTCAAGATCATCTCAAACTCAAGGCGAGGGCAAGAAAGAATGAGCCCACCCCATAGCCTCTATGAAGGAAAGATCCAAGTTGAAGTCCTGCACACAAAAATGCTCAACTCATTGCTGACCAGCTGGAACTGCTCCATTGGGTTTCTGACCATGTGAATCATACAGGAGACCACTCATCTTTATTCCTAAGGCTCCCTTGGTGGGTTCCAACACACACGCCCGTACACACACACACACACACACACCCCACTTTAGTTTGTTTAGTCTTCAAATAATAAGCACATTCTGTGTTCCAGGCTCTCTTCTAGGTACTAGAGACAAAGTGAATAATTAGTGACTATTCTAAAAAGCTTATAGTATAGATAAAGGTTTCTTAACGCTGGCACTACTGATATCTTTTGAAGGCAGGGGATGTGTTTTTGGAATGTTTAATATATTTAACTGTATGCTTGGGCTCCATCCACTAAATGCTAGTAGCACACACCACCAGTTATTGTCAAATGTGCCCTGTGAGCCAAAATCACCCCGGCTGGTAACTCCAGATCTAGGACAGCACTGTCCAATAGGACCTTTTGTTGATGATGGAAATGTCCTGTATCTGCACTGCTCAACAGTTATTCTGATGGCATAGCCTGCTGGGAGTTGGGCTAAGCCAGAGACAACAGCTTCCCACTCTGTTCCCATTCTAACTAGAAGTTTGAATCCACAGGGAGAAAGAGGGGTAATTTCCTCTCTTGTAATTTACGTCAGGACCCCAATGGAGGGTCAGCTATGAGTCAGTTCTGATCTAGATGGTACAATGAGTCACACGTGCCTTCGGAACACTTAAAATATGGCTAGCATAACTGGGGAAAGGTATTTTTATATTTTCACTAATAACAAATGACTCTGGCTACACTATGGGACAGCTATTCTAGAGCACATTCAGTGTCCCAAGAAATGTTAACCTGGTTTTGTCGGAATGAATCCTTCCTCCTCATTCTCAGTTCTTTCTTCCTCCTGGGGCATCTATTATCTCATTCTGTCCCGTGTTATTTCTACTTTTTGGGAATTTAGCTACTACCTTCACTATTAGGGCATTACATAAAAGCAGGTGGCAGTAGTTGTGTGAAGTCAAGCCAGAACCGACCCATGGCTGACCTTTCAATGATTTTCAGAGGCAGTAAATCAAATGGGAGGAGACTGCCCATTCTTCTCCTGGGGAGCAGCTGGTGGATTCGAAGCTTGTGCCTTTGGGATTGCAGCGCAGCTTCTCACCACTGGGCCATCAGAGGCAGGAGCAGGGTCGAAGCTGCCTCAGCGTCCTAAATCTCTCACTCAAGGGTTCCAACTGACAACAGTAATACGGACTTCTTGGCACTTCTTTTGGGATCGTATGAACAACGGGAATTGTCCTTCTCAAAGACAAGCGGGCCGAGAGGGCTGGCCGGAGGATGCCCGGTAACCCATCGCCCCTCCTGCCCGCCCCCGCCCGAGTGCCCGGAGGGGGGCCCAGCAAGAAGACTCTCCGTAGCGGCCTCTGCTTACTTAGAGTCTTTTTCTTTGTCTCTGAATTTGTATCTGCTTTTGCTCCTGCCTTTCTTTTTCTTTCCCTTCAACGGCATCGTGACTCCTCCTGGGGTGACCCTGTCGGTGCTCCGCCTCCACCTAGGCCCACTCCCCCTGCACCGTCGTCTCTAAGGAAACCGGACGCCGAGCCGCAGACACGGGCGCCGCCACCCTTCGCGGCAGTTGCCGGCGCCGGGAGGGCGCACGCGCGGATGACGTGGCTCCGACGCCGCCGCGCGGCCGGGCCTCG